TTGCGTTCTCTCTCTCTCTCTCTATTTTCTTTTGTTTTTCTTTTTCGTTCTTCTTCTTCTTCTTCTTCTTCTTCTTCTTCTTCTTCTTCTACTACTTCTTCTGTCTTTTCTTTCACCGTCTTTCAGTTTCGATTCGCTTGCGAGCTTCCGCTTTTGAAACCGCTTCTCTCTGTATGTAACAGCTTCGTTACCTGTGTCACACAGCCGCTAGTAGTTTCGTTACTCCTCGTTACTCGTCGTTTCTTCTCTATCTCGATGTTCGTATAGGCAAAACGCTCGCCTGCGCTACCTGCCTGCCCGCGAACTCTCTTCTCTTGCCAAGGAAAACTTGCAGAGTGTGCTTAGGTACACTCGTCAGAGCGTCGACGTTCTTGGTATCGTTACGATGCTACACGGGATATGCGATTCCGGGGGTTAGATCCGGTCATCTTTGCCCGGGACAGGATACTTGCTCTAGGACGTCGGATCGGATGAACGCGATCTCGACGGACCCGCGAGATTTTCGCTTCGACCGGAGAATTTAGGCCTCGTCTTGGTCGCGAGAGGATGGTCGCGAATCGATGGGTAACGAGCGTGGAGAGAAAAAAAAAAAAGAAAACGTGATACGACAAATTAGACGTCCAGTGCGCATCGCGACACGACTGCACTGCGCCTGGAGGAACGCCAAACGAAGCGAAGCTTGCTGCCATGACAACTTCCGCCCGAAGTGACATCAACACCACGTTACAACGGAGTTACTTTCGAGCCCACTTTAATTAAAGTTGCATTCACGGATTCGCGTTCGCATCAGAAACTACTTATGACCACTACACGGCCTCCAATTAATATAACAACGAGCAACTTTGCGTGCGTGGCATCGCGAAAGACGCAATAGCAGTTGAAACTGGAGACTCGTTGAAAAGTAGACGATGCCAGATATCGAAATGCGGCATACGTTGTTGCGAGCGAGCACCGCTTCGAGGGTGCACTTTTCCACGGGAATACGGTGAAAAAGCTCGTTCACTCGCGAAAGTTACCTTCCGCGGTAAACATCGGGTACACGTCGTTCGTTGGCAATTTCTCGCGTCTATATCGCGGCTCGCGGTTCGCTCGTGTGATTCGATGCATCTCAATACGTCAGCCCGTGTCGCGGAATTACCATCGCGAAATTACCACCGGTCAGATTCGCCGAGTAAACTAGTGATTTAGAGGCATCTCTTCGAGAGCGCGAACTAGTTTGGAGTTGGAAGAAAAAGCGATTCGGTGGATCGTCTTAGTGACCGAGTAGCAAGAAACAGGAAATTCCCTAGGAATTGAAAACAGAACTAGTCGGTGTTCTAGACAAACACAGGGTCGTTCGACTAATACCGAACGAAGGAACCCCCGTTCAGACGGACCTCTATTTATTCCTTTTTTTATTATTTTCGTGTTTCAGCTGCACCCTTGAAGCGGTATCCAAGCATCGCAATAGCATAAATCCGTGCATTTATCCGGCATAAAACTTTCCGCGCTTGAAAACGTCAGAAAAATATCGCGGCAACGTATACAGCGTCGATGACGGCGGTAAGCGTCGCCTCGGGTTGAAATCTTTCCAGCATCGCTGGAGCGAGTGTCAGCCGTTATTGGAGCTGTAAAATGTCCAAGTTCGTTCCTAAAGTTTCCTGAATTTCTCTCTCTATCTCTATCTCTTCCTCTCGCTCTCTCTCTCTCTCTTTCTCTCTCTCTGCCTCCTCTCTTCCGACAAAATTTCACACCTATAACGGTTGCGAAAATTCCAATTCTACGTCTGTAATAGTCGTAAAATCCTCGATGTAGCGTGGACGGGGATAAAGCGGAGAGGAAAAAAAAAAGAAAAGGAAAAAGGTGAAACTCGTGTACAACGCGACAGGAGAACGCGAATCTACGAATTTATGGCGACAATTGTTATTTATCGGTGGTAAAATCCCACGGCTTCTTTTCCCCCTCGCCTTTGTTACGGAACTCGTAGCCCTAAATCAAAACTTTCCCGACGATTTCTTCGCGCACGCATGGAAGTCGTTTCCACGACAGCCACGCCGGCGTGCTTCGATTACGAGAAGCGAGGCAGAAAGGTGTTCCTCGCGCACACACGCGCGTGGAAACGAACGAGATTCGCTCGTGGTAGGAAAAATCAGGAAAACGTCGGCAAACACACCTGGACTACGCACCATCCGTGTTTAAGCATCGTGCGATCACGATCCCACGAGCAAAGCGTATTTCCGCTCACGATTAATTGTGTACGGCATTTTTGGTACGCTTGGTCAGATAACGATTTAACGGAGCAAACGTATGTCGATGCAATGATCGAGAAGTCGAACGTAACGATTCGCTATTTTTATTATATCCATCATGAGCAAGTGACCGATCGGTCGCGAGGATTGTCTCGGAGATGGTTCTCTGATTGGACGAAATACAGGAATAAACCGATAGGAGTAATCGATCTCACGCTAAAGTTCCAACAACTTTCAGATCCTGCTGCATATCGTTGCTACTGTTACCGAGTTCCAAGTTCGATTAGACATAAGTATTTATAATTAGACTTAAGATTCTCTCTTCGCAGTACAGAGTAGGCAGTGCATGTCGCTTCGATAGCGTCTCGTAGCATGCTTGCACGTAGTACTGGTAGTGTTGCCCGAGTAATAATAGTCTATGTATGGAATACATATAATCACCATATACACGGTCCATGCACCTTACCGCTTTCGCGTGTACACACGAATTACCCTCGCGTCGTGGAACTCCCCTACTGAGATCGACCACGTCGACAGAGATCCGATGCGAGTGAACCGTGTACCACCGAGCGATACAGCTCCCTTCGACCTGTGTAATTTCCAATTCTATCGAATTATCTTATCGTCGAAACTTTGTGATATCGTCCAGATTTCAGCAACCGGCTACCAACATGTAAACAGAAATTTCCTACTCGGTCCTAGCTCATTTGAGTTTGCTGTCGCGAGTAGCCGAATTATTTCAATCCTCGGATTAAAGATTCGGATTTCCTTATCTCGTATAAACAACAATTTTCTCAAGCATCGTCTTTCGAGTTTGCAAATTTATACGTTCGCGAAATGGAATATTTGTAGTATCTTTCGTATCTGCCCCATTCGTCTGGCAAATTAAATGCAAATACGATCGGTTTATTGCGCGATCGATACGCGCGTTACTTGTCTTTGATAAGTGAACTTTTAATAGCGTCTTCGTTAGCCGGCGAAAGTTTAACCGTGTTTAAAATATGTTCCCTTGTAATTACGCCCCACTGATAATAGACTAATCAAAAAACTTTCATCTCGAATAATAAATCTAGCCATCGGGATCGGCTGATTACGCTCCAACTATTCGCTCGGCCACTTAAACTTTCTTCGTTCAACGAATTACTCGCCTCGTCGTAAGTGGAAATTTACGAGGAATAGCACGCTACGTCGTTTGACGAATTCGCGATGAGATCGAACCGAGTTAATCAAAGTTTAAACGAAGATTCCTGAATATCTCGGACCGCGTAGCTTCCTTCGCGAGGATCTATTCCCGATCTCTCGAATCGCCGCTCGACGATCATCCGTTAAATGGCGGTACTTTTAAATATTAAATCTATCGAATCTGGAACCGCAGCGCGTAAAATCGCGCCCATTCAATCGCGCTCGGATTTATTCGTCATGCGTAAAATTTTTGATCGAGCGTTTCACGATCTTCCGTTCGCTCGAACCCGAACAACTAAGCCGTGAAATCATTTGTTGCCAGTGAAAATCGTTCGACTTTACGCGGCAATCCAGTCGTCCTGCGTGTTACGCCTGTATGGCAAATTGTAAATGAATTTCGCGTAGATTCGTTGAACGAATACGAGGCGAACCCTGGAACACGGAGAATCGAGTTCGTTAGCTGTTAAATATTTCGGGGAAAAAAGAGTTCGGGTCGCGAAAGAACGGTGTCTGAAACGCTTTGTTAGCCGGTGAAATAAGAGCGTGCCTAGCTGCCAGCGTGAGGTCAGAACGGAACGTTGAAGGAGGCCTCGATAGGGTTAGGTGAGTGTTCAAGTGGCCGATTTAACGCGTTACGATAACCACGACACGTGGTACTGACACAGAGTAGTCGACAGAGTAGTCGACAGCATCGGTCGACAAGAGTTTCGAGCTACCTGTCGACGTCCACGATCTCAGTTCTGCGTTTCCTCTCCCATTAATCGATCGCTCGAGCCCCTATCTTGTACGATCGCGTCGCTTCGCGTTTTCGTTTCCCGGTGTTGCGTCTCGCTGTTTCCCCTGATCGTTTCAATCGCGCGACAATTTCGCCTACAACCGTCTCTCTCTCTTTATTTCCGTCTCTATTTCTCGCGGTGCTCCATCCCCGTTGGAAAGACGCTGAATCTACCCTCCCGCCACGAGTACCCGCCTAGCAAACAAAGAGAGAGAAAAACGACACACGCGAGAAAAAACGAGGAACAACGCGAAGGATAATCGCGTTCTTTCGTTGCCGCCATCGCGACGAGTATCTCTCGCGGGAGGAATTCATCGGGGTTCGCGTGGACGAGTCTGAAAGCGAAGATCGGATGAACCGAGCGTTTGGAACGCGCGACGTATCGAATAAATCGGGAAATTTAATCGATGCGAATCTATTTATTCGCGCAAAGGAGGATGAGAGACGCGTCGGATGGAAGGCAGCCGTTATCCAGTCGCGATATCGGCTCGCGTTTGCTTTCTTCCTCGCGTATCCGGCGAAACCGTGTTATTTTTAACGAAGGCATTGTCGCGTAACGCTGTTAGTCTATACGTACGTATCACGTCGCATTGTTCGGCCCGAACAGCACACCGCGGCCATTGTAATTTCTAGACGATCGCGCCCCGATCGAACACGCCGATTCCCGTCGCGTTTTACCAACCGCGAAAGTTGCAACCGCGGAATTGCTCTTTTACGTTCTTCCACGCTCGTTCTCGCGTGTCTCGAAGTCTCGAAACACCACTATCTACGGCTCTAATGAATGCACTCGCGTGTGTGTGTGTGTCTCGTGCCAGGACTTCACGCTGGATTTTTACTTCCGGCAATTCTGGACGGACCCGCGGCTCGCGTTCAAGAAACGGAAGGACGTCGAGACGCTGAGCGTCGGCTCGGAGTTCATCAAGAACATCTGGGTACCCGACACGTTCTTCGTCAACGAGAAGCAGTCGTACTTTCACATCGCTACCACCAGCAACGAGTTCATTCGTATTCATTACTCGGGAAGCATCACACGTAGTATACGGTGAGTGTCAACGGTCAATCGATCTTTCTTAGTCTTAATTAAACCAATTTCTTAAGTTTCCACAATCGAACAGCGGCCAAGAGAGAAAGGGGGAGAGAAAGAGAGAGAGAGAGAGAGAGAGAGTGAGAGAGAGAGAGAGAGAGAGACAGGGAGAGGAAGAAACCGGATAAATTCGAGGAAAAAGACGTAAGAATCGCAATATCGATACACCGACTTTGATCCATAACTAGAATCGTTGCCAAGTACCCTCTCGACGAAGGACCAATTTCTCCGAACACGAAGCGCAGCAGAATTTCGCTGCTCGACGTCGACGAGAGTCCGAGAAACCACGAGCGAAGAAGACTTTTCGGAGTAATGGAATATATTTTCTTGGGCGAGGAGACGCGCTATAAAACTGCCACGTGCAGGCGCGATTTTAACCCCGTTTCGATACCCCGTACCGCCGGAGAACCGTCTAAACACTCGAGAAAGAAGTTGAACCAGCCACGACAAATTTCTCCCGAGCATCGGTCGTCGTTTCCATCCCCTTTGTGACGGTCCTCCACGCTCACCACCCAAGGAACGCTCGTCGAGAACACAAATCCCCCGAAAGTCCTCGCTAACCGTACCTTTTCAGCTTGGCTCTGCTCTCCGTTGCTCTCGATATACCAACGAAATAGGAAAATATACGACAGATATTCTTCTCTCTACGTGTCTTCTCGCGCTGTCGACGCGACGTGATCGATTACGATCTCTACTTCTCTACTTCGTCATCGAACACGCGGAATGCCGGCTTTAAACCTTCCACACCTGAGTATGCTTCGCCGCCTAACGACCACGACGAAGGCGACGACGACGACTACGACGACGACGACGACGACGACGATGATGATGATGATGGCGCGGATGCACGGAAGAGTCGTGGTTGCCAGACAGACCAGTTGTCTGACTCTGTCAGAGATGGATCGCGGGTAATCGCGTGTTCAGTCCGAGGACGAGCTTTCCGAATCTTTCGGTCACGAAGATGAAGTACCGCGAGATATAGTCGTCTCGGAGGCCAGGTTGGGAAGAGTAGGAACAGGAAAGGGACGGATTTTGGACTTTCGGGACTCGCGTCCTCGACGAGCAACCCTCTAGTGGGAAGTGAAGAGCGACGAGGCGGTATCATCCCCGGTATCCATTCCCCTCTAAACCAACGCGAAGTGTTCCGGTATTAACAGCGCTGCTATATTCAGACGATCCATGCATACCTAACTTTCCCGTGCGCACCCTTTCGTCGCTTTATATTACATTGCCTTCCGGATCTAGAAACTCGAGGCCGATTCGACGTGGTCGGAAAACGTAAAACACCAAGGGAAATTGATCGGAATGGGTATCGACGTATCATACGTTTATAAATTCTCCACGTTTGAGGGGAGTATTATCGATAACCGTTGCTCGACACGGCGATACGTGCTGCGGAGGACTCGCGGATACTCTGGGTATACGGCGAAAATGAAATTGGTCCTCCATGTACGATTATTCGAGGACACGAGTCTAAGACGTAGCGAAAATCGACGATCCGTTTTGCACAGATCGCACAGACTGAAAGTAATTTTTGCGTTTGTTACAGTTTAACGATCACGGCATCGTGTCCGATGAATCTGCAATACTTTCCGATGGACCGACAGCTCTGCCATATCGAGATCGAGAGCTGTAAGTACGCACGTGCGCGTGTATAAATGCATACATACCGAACTAAAGTGACGAATCTGAGAAAAGTTCGACACCCTCGCCTCCGTCCACTGTCACACAGACACGCTACATACCGTACATGGAAACATACGATCCGAATGAATCATTGGAGCATCAACAGTGTCGACCTTGCGAACGGCAATCGACGTTCGCCTTTTCGAACCCTTCGAACGTCACGGGAAGAGAAAAAAAAAAAGAAAAAAGAAAAAAATACGGTTCATTTCCAGTCACGTTACACTCGTTATCCACTCGTGTTCGACGAAAGGTAAAACATTTTTTATCGCGACGAAGGTAAAAAGAGAAAACCTTGTTGAATCGGGTCAAGGGTCGATTGCCGTTGATTAAACGCGACTCAACTGTACATCGCTTTTCAACCCCTTTTTCAGATAAGCTCAGAAAGACGCTTCTATCGTGTACATTTGCGTCAAACGTAACAGGAAAAAGAACAAATTATGAGAAAACGAAAGCTAAAGGAAACCTCGTATGTTCTTCTTTTACACGCTCATACGAAATTATCGTTACCCGACACCTTACAGCCCACCCCCTTCAACGCGACCACCCCGCTCTCTCCCCTCGCCCTTTCCCCGCCCACGACACCTATCTCTTCCGTCTTTCTTCTCTGTCTTCTCCTCTCTAGCTATCTATCTATCTGTCTGTCTGTCTGTCCATCACTCGCCACTTTACACACGCTCACTAACACGAATCAGTCACACGATCCGCGGCATCGTCGTGGATCACTTTCATTCACTCCGTCCACTCACTCACTCACTCGCTCACTCACCCGCTCTCGCTCACTCTTATTGGGTTTTCTATACCATTCACGATGACTCTTACCTCTACGTGACATCGTGAACTTGCCGAGCCAGACGCGTGCAGCTTCGTTCGAAGATTCCACCGATGGGCGAATCCTCCGGAGAACCAAGAGGGGCCGAGAGTCTACGTATCGGCACAGGGACACGCGCACACGCGGATATTATTCGCGTTCGATTCGACTATTCGTATTCGAAGACGGTCAAACGCTACCGAACACGAATACCGGTAAAATTCCGCTCGGACCGAGCGAGAGACGCGAAAAGTTCGGGAACGACTGCGACGCTCGCCCGTTTCGGGAAATTTCGACGAGTTTCGAGTCGAATCACGCGTACGGCTCGGCAACGACGCACAGTGTGCGAACAACAAAGAGCACCTTGACGAGGAGCGTCCTCAACAGCCGAGACGGCCGTCTCGATCGGGACGCTCGCTGTATACGCAATCAACCTTCGGCGGTTGACTTGAGCACGAAAACAAGTCGACGACACACGGCTCGACTAGAGACGTGCCGCTGCGTTTAGGCTGCTAATAGCGTTACGAGAGCATAGAGAACGGAAGGTCTGGCGAAGCGAGAAAGAAGCTAACGCCCCTGGTAACACACCAGTGTACGGTGGCACGTACGGGAAAAGCTGAAACGCAACCACCTTGCGTGCGTGTATAGATGTCTGACTGCGAATACCTGGTGCGTGTATGCGCGAATGGCCTGTGTGCGTGTGCGTATTATCACGAGCTCGCGCCGATTATCACTGCTGCAAATTGCACGCGATTATTGGCTGTGTGAAACCGAAAGAGGATGCCCGGATGCTCACCCTCTCTCTCTTTCTCTCTTTCGTCCAACTTTCTTTCTTTCAACCCCGGATTGCATCTCGAAGGACCGGTATATACGTATACATTTCTTTCTCCGATCCACTTGGATCGAAGCTGCGCGTCCGAGAGAGGGCTGGCTCGCGATGAAAACGATCGAGCGATTAATTGGGATCGGGCAGGGGCGATCGTGGAAACGTCCGAGAGAGGGTAAACCGCGTCCCTTTAGAAATATTTATCGTAAACAAGCTGTTAATTCGTTAACGATAATCGGGCCAGCAGCAGCTGATCATTCAGCGGTCATTAAATCATTTCCCCTGTATCAATAAGTTCGGTAATTGTAGCGTATAATCCGGCAGATTTGCCGCGGTTCGCGATAACGATACGATATTATCGACGATTCGGATGCGTAAATAGACGATAAAACGAACGCACCTGGTAACAACCGGTAAGCTAAATCGCGAACGATCGGTAACGCGCCGCGTTACGATGGAGGCCGTGAGTCGTCGGACAGGGATGGTAGAGGTACGGGGAGAAACAAAAAGAGTCGTGAAACGCATCCGGTGCCTTTGATTATACCAGAAGTCTAGCGGAGATTGGTAATCTATACGGGGACAATGGAAAAAGTTTCGGCCTAACTCGTTCCGGCTAAGAGATCTATATTAAAACTCAGTCGTTTGCAGGATACGACGAAAGGCCGCCGGAAGTCGGACGCTCGAGATATCAAAGTAACTTGACCAAGTTCGTTGATTAGTTTCGCGGAGTAGAAAGCCGGATCGTGCCGTCGTCCTTAATTGCTCCAGCCTCGTCCCCGGCGAAATTATTACCGTCGTTAGAAGTATTTCTGTTCCGATCTGTCGCGGACCATGCGCCATTTCCACCCCCCGCCCCCCACCTGGTACTGCTCCCCTTCGTCGCGAAATGGTAATTAATAACGATTAATATCGAGGTTGATGCTACTTACGTAAATGGACGGAGCATCGATCGTCGATCCCCGTCGTCGCATCGGGTTGGACATTCGGAAAACGTTCGAGTTCCTGGAAAAAGGGATAAAAGCGAAATAAAAGTACAGGCCGGTAATAGCATAATGAAGAGAACGCGTGTGGACGCGGGTAAATACCAATCTGACCGTAAATGACGAGTAATTATAGAAAATCGTTCGATAACTTTCGTCGCTGTTGAACGTCGGTTAGCAACGTTCCCGCGTAATTTACGCGAATCGGCGAAACTTTATTCGCCCGGAAAATTCCACGTCTGTCTAATTAAAACGTCGTCCGACTAATTTTCCGATCGGAAACTACTTCGTTATCCGAAAATTAAGGATCCTCGTAATTTACGTTCAACGAGTTGCGTAATATTTCCCGTGGCCTATCCGTGATTCACGGGGAAACGATGAATCCCGTTGTAGTTCTACGCTCGATTGGCACGAAGGAAAGGGTATTAATTAAAGTTGGCGGAACAGGATTCATCGGCATCGTTATTTTTAATCTCGTTATCGGGCAACGTTACACGCCTACTCGTTATTGTTGCGATTTATCGGGCCAGTAGGGGTCGTCGGCGACGAACTTGGTCAAGCCCGAGAATTCATTTGCTCCGGTTGAAAAAACGGCACTGCGGGCCTTTGTTATCGAGCCAATTTACGATGTTTTGCCTGCTACGTGGCGCATTAACGTTGTTGCGCCACCGCGTTTTCCAATGTAATCGCGTTTCGGCGTTTCGCGATGTCGCTATCGTCGACGAGAGCGGACGTGCAATTTGCAGTAACTCCAAACGACAGGTAGTGAGCTCGATCACGCAGAAGTACGGTCGACCGTTAATCCACCACTGGGTGGATATCGAGCTGACCGACGTTTACGCAGCGAGAGCAGACGCATTTCGTGCTGGTTTATATACACGTAATAAAACAAAAGAGCGGGAAAGAAAAGAGGAAAGAGAAATCCGAAGGAAGGAACGGAAAACGAGAAAGAAAAATGGTCGAGAAAGTTAATCGTAAAGAGATTATTCTCGTGGAGAATAATTCGAGGACCAGTACGAGCTTCTGCATATTCGCAATCTGCGTGACATAACCGTACATAACCGTAAAACGTATTTACGAGCATCCTCCGAAGGGTCTCCACTGTACCAATTTACCACTATTGCGAACTATCACGTCGGTCTTAGCGAACTTTAGTGTAATTTCTCCGCAAGTATAGCGGTCGAGGCGAGACTCGTCGCCTCGAATGCCAGGCTATCGCGTCGAGCTACTCGAACTCGGGACAGAACGAAACCATTTCAAGAGGTCGATGCGAAAATTGGGAAAATATTCGGGGAAACGATCAATAAGAATCGACGGAGAAATCGCACGAAACTCGAATAAAACCATAGAGCACACGCACGGCTGTACATATCAGAGTTCTCGGACGAAAGCGATCGAAACATCTACCTTTGGCTCCGACGATGATACGTCTTTACGAACGTGTGCTACATGAATACACCAAAAGTCACCACTTTGCCACTGTCACAGAAACCACCACCACCACCACCACCACCACCACCACCACTACCACCACCACCACCACCACTACCACCACCACCACCACCACCACTTGACCATCACTATCACAAAACCAAGCCCCCGGCCCCTAAAAAGCCTCCGACATATAGCACTGAGCCTCGTGTCCGGGGACGTAGTAAGGGCCGACGACGGCCAGCCCCGAAGGAGGCTAAACACAGAAAACGACGTGTCGACTACGGTGCGACCGAATTAAAACGCATTGTGCATCTAGCCCAGCGCATGTAAGAACGAAACGACTGCAGCATCTTAGCCACGACGTGACGTGCCGTGGCCCAGTTCGGTATGCCTATATATTATTTCGAATATCTGGTTATGATCTATCGACTTTTCAACCGATTTTCTCTTTGATATTCCAAAATACTGGTACCCAATCCTCGGCCACTTTTGCGTATGCTACCATACCATAGACCGTAGTTTGATGATACTCCGCCCTAGATAAAAGACGGCATGCCTTTGGCACGAAAATATTTTGTTCCGCTCTCTTAACCAACGACCGAATTTTCGACTTCGCAACTTTAGTCGGCATCGAGTTTTTGCTTTCCTCTTATTTCTACGTACTTGTGCGTGCCTCTAACGACCCGTTGAATGCGCCGCTTCAGTCATCTACCGATCGGAGTTCATCTACCGTGCGTATTCGGCAGAGACCTTTTACGCTGCTTGGGCGAAATGAATTTCGAATTTGACCGTCGCGACTCTCGGGATCTCGTCGTCCCGCCGATCGAACGTCGCGATGGATCTTCCTTCGATCTTCTTTTCGCCGTTTTTTTTCCTTTCTTTTTCTCCTTTGAGGCTCCGAATTCGTCCGAGGTGTCGCGGAACTCGGACGAAATGGAAGAAAAGGTACAGGATGAAAGAGACACGACCGAATGTTTCGCTTCGAAGGACGCGAGTTTCGCGAGTACGCCAGCGACGATGGAGATTCGAATAATTCGCTGGATCTCCTTGGAGGAGAAAGAGTGGCCGCGTGTGAGACTCGGACGATCGTTAGATCGCGAATCGATCGGCCGAATTCGATCCGGTCTAAATGGGATTCGATAATAGCATACTTTGCGAACGCGAACATTGGAAAGGACCGTTGCAGCGGGAATAAAAAGAAGTTAAATTCCGTGTTCAGAATTCGTGTCACTGGTAAAGCACAAAGCATGCGGCATCGGGCATGACGTACAAAATTACGTGGCACGAAGCATGCGATTGTATATGCTGATGCATGTATATGTGTGTATCTGCGTGTATATGCGCGAGGGAGCGCGTGCCCATCCGCCAAATCCACCCGCGTATTATCCAAATCCCGCACAACCACCGCATGCCGAGGCACGAAACTTTTTTTCTTCGCTTCTCCATATCTACTTTATACACTTTCCACTTATCGTCTTATATAACCTGAACTTGGTACCACCACTACGATCCCATACGGTTACTCTTTGCTAATGTTGCCGCAACCTTCCATTCTTACGGTACTCGCCGGCCACCGCTCTCACCTGTCCCTCTGTCCCTCCGCACCCCTTGTACCCGGTAATGCTTAACGTTGCCCCAATCCAGGACAATTCCCCAATTATTGGGGAAGAGAGAAAAAAAATAAAAGTAGAAAAAAGGTAGCGATTCGATCCGTAATCGTTTCATACGTATATACCATGAATAAATACGGCGCGACGAACATCGGCGAAAAAAGCGTTTCCTATTTCGGAAAAAAAAAAAAATGAAATACGCGAGGATATAGTGTAACCGTATTTACGATCGAAACGTATAATACCGTCGTTGGCGAATTTGGATTTCGTTTCGCGAATTTGTTCCGATTAAAACCCGGTTAAAGTCTAAAGAGACGATTTAAACGTTTCCGGTGATTACGAAATCTTTTTAAAACGTTATATATCGCGCCTCTCTTTTTACCCGACGCGCTTACAGGCACGTGAAATGTAAAAAAAAAAAAGAAATGGAAGAAAAAAAAAATCGCGACAATAGCATAGTCGGGGGCAAAAATCTTTTGAAAGCAAAAGCGAGGAATAACGATTTCGTTTTTAAAAACCGGAAACAAACCGAAAACGCGGGAAATTAAAGGGGGTGAGAAAAAAAGGAGGAAAGTTTCGGTTGGAGTGAAAAAAAAAAGAAGGGAAAATGATGGTAGAAAGGGAGGAGGATCGATAGTTTAAAATTACGGAAACTCCTCCGTTGATTAAATTACACGGTTTCTTCGGGGTAGCCCCGTTGAATGTTAACGAGGCTCGCTCGTGCATCGGGAAACATCGGAATCAGGCTGGCAATCGACACACGCCAGAGTCGCGAACATTGTACAGATAAATCTGCCGAGCGGCAAAGCATTCGCCAGGCGGAATTACGGCGAGGCATTTACCGGCCGAAAATGAGCAAACGGAACGGGGAACGGCGATAGTATTTCCGTGTTCCAAAAACAAAAGCAGTTAATCTCGAATACTCGGTCGTGGATCGCTTAATCCACGTTTCGCCGATGTTCGCGCAATGTGGCCGCCGCCGCGATGGAATGCCACTTTGGTGCCTGGAATGCGGTGTAACGATCGTAATCACCTAAGATTCAGTTACGGAGGAATGTTTCTCGGGCCGGTATGTGCACGCTCGAGGCCGCGCCGAGGAATTAGAGGAACATAAATAGGTGCGAATTCCGATCGATCGCGTAAAATTCGCCGACGATCGGACACAGGGGGTATGACGAGTACGCGTTAAAACTGGCGCGAGAAAAAACGAGCAACCTGTCCGTACGTTCGATAAATTATCCCTGCGCGGAATTTCTATCCTTTGGTTATTATTTTCCAAATATATAACCCGTTCCTCGCGGCCTCGATAGCCCGTACCGTGCGCAGTTAGAACGGACTTTGCGAGAAAAATTATGGACGTATGGAAAGTAAATCACGGCGCGGTGTCCGATGACGGATAAAATTCCGCTGCTCCGTGAATCGAACGTCGGTCGAGAACCGGATGGAATCGCGTACCGAGAACTTTTTCTACGTCCATGAAAGACGATCGTAAACGCTACACACGCGCTACCGTGCAAAGTTCTTATCGGCCATTTTGGCCGACGACGAGCGATTTCTCGACGACGCCTTGCTCGATTACGCCAACTGATCTTTGCAGCGCAGGAACGCACCTTAAGCCGATCTCGAACGGTAGAATATATATGGAACGAAACGAGAGGAATAAAATGTGGAATCGCGATTTCGTATCGGATCATGTAAATAGCGATAGACGATGTGGAAGCGGTTTAGGGTGCTCGATCAAATGTTTTGCTTCTATCTACGTCCTCACCCCCTCTCTCTCTCTACCACCTTAACCCCTCACAGTTCAACAACGGAAAACCTCTGTTCTCCCGAAAACTCCCGTTAATACCTACCACACAAAACTTGAGTGTCTAATTATTGTATGTTAGAGCGAAGATATTTGTGTTCTTGTTCTCCCGGCAGTTGGATACACAATGCGCGATATTCGGTACAAATGGAACGCCGGCCTACAGTCGGTCGGCATCTCGAACGAGGTGGAACTACCGCAGTTTCGCGTGCTCGGTCACAGGCAACGACATTCAACCATACACCTATCTACAGGTAGATATCCCCCTCTTATTAGTTCTTCCTTCTGAACTTCGTCCAGAGGCTCGCGCAGATGGTTAAATAATTATTGACTTGTTGTAACATAATTGTCACACGCGTGTACACGCCGTTATATACGGTACGATGTGTGTGGAGCATTCCGTTTTATTTTCTTTCGATCATTCTTCTACTTCTTCTTCTTCTTCTTCTTTCCTTCTTTTTGTACATGTATATATATTCTATTTCGTTTCTCCTCCTATGATTTTTAACCTATCTCTCGTTTCGTTTTCTGTTTTCTTTTTTTTTTGGTTTCGTCAATCGCACCGATATGCACCGATCACCGTGTCGCCATATACCGCGAACACTATATCGATCGTTCCGATCAAGGAAGAGCTTACCCGCTTGGACGAAACCGTCCCCGGGGCTAACTCATTCGACCAATCGACCGATCGACTAATCAATCGACTTCATCGATCTTTGAATCCACGGAACAAAGGACGAAGACGAACTTTCCCGGTCATACGAATCCATCGTTCCCGATTTAATCCTCTATCACGGGTCCGAGGTCGACGACGTACTATTTCCCTCGGAATTCGCTACCTAGTCTCGCTTTTCCGCCTTTGTCTTAACGATTCGCGATCCGAGAAGGAAAGGATCGGCTGAAGAGAATAGTACCGAGTCAACCTCCGACGAATCATCCACAACATCAGATCAAACCGACACGACGGGCTCTCGGAAAGTCGAAAGAAACGAATGTAAAGAATATAAAGATAAACGACGTTACCGCGATCCTCCTTCGTCGATCGTCCCGGACGATCGAAAAAGGCCGCGTGGATCGACTACGAGACCACCACACCAAATTAGGAAAAAAAAAAAAAAAAGAACAAATAAACGAACAACTGATAGAATCCGCTTGCACGTCCTCCTGCGTTCGATCTTTATTGTCCCCCGTTAAAAAAGGGATCATCGTCCCCGTTAAAAATGGTTCTCTCGTGAGAAAGGCAAAGAGTAAGAACGAATGGAGTGGGACAGATAGATAGAGGAGAGAACGGAGAAAGAGACAAAGAGAGAAGAGCAGAATGAATAGAACGAAACGTATAGAGACCGAAGGAATAAGTAACACGACATGGTAGAAAAGTAAAGCGTAAGACGAACACATGTGTGTAAAGAGAAAGAGAGGGAAATAAAGAGAGCGGACATGTTGGGGTTTTGACGGGGGTGCGAGGTAAGTGGAGGCCCCCTCGGAGCTGAAACGCGTTTGAGGGCTTCCGCGAAGGTACGTACCAACCGCGGGGGGTCTCTCTATTTTTTCAGTCGGATACACGATGAGGGACATCCGGTACAAGTGGAACGAGGGCCCGAACAGCGTCGGTGTCAGCAACGAGGTCTCCCTGCCTCAGTTCAAGGTCCTTGGTCATCGTCAACGAGCCATGGAGATTAGTCTAACTACCGGTAACGTATGAATAGAACCCCACCCCCACCAACAACCAAAAAAAATAAATAAATAAAAAAATAATAATTCAACCCTCGCTTTTAACGGTATGGGTAAGGTGGAGAGACACGTTTGCGCTATCCGATGTCCGCAGCCACGATGTCGCTCGCAGCAACGTTACTCTACGTTGTGACCAATCGTCGATCGATCGATCGATATCTCTCTCTTTCTCGCGATCTAGCCCTTTACACAGGTGCACCAGGTGGACGGTGGATGTTAAGAACAAATTTCTAGGCTTGCTTCAGCCTCGTTGCTCCTCGTTTCTTCCACGCAATTCCTCCATGACTGTTCTCCGACAGGCTTTACCTCCTTGATCGCGTTTTTCGTTCAAGCTCGAGTTAACGTCGTCCTTCGTTCGAGGACACGCGACGTAATCGTCGTTCCGACGCGTCACGCGAGTAATTTCACCGCAGCGTCTCCTCTTTGAAGCTCCACCTGCTCGAAGCTAACGACCGAGCTCTCATAACCGCGAGAGCGAGCTGCAATCAGGCCTCCGAGCAAATCCCATTTTCCCCCCGTGAACGTCGCTGATTCTTCTTACGATTCGTAACGGGGAAGAG